CGTAGATCTTTGACATGATTGTCTCAACATCTCTCACCCCAATTTTCATAAAAATAAAAGACAACCTATCTTATTTTTCATCTTTATTGTACTTAAAAGTAAAAAAAATTGATCAACACAAAGAGTCAACATCATCATTAGAAGTGTTTTTTTAGAAGATGAATATTGAGAAGACTTTCTTATCTCAAAATGCAAGCCTATGTATAATTTGTTTGTAGAAATAAATAAGATGGATGGAGTAGGACTATTAATTGTTACTTTGAAATGACTCATTGATTTCAACATAATCTAGTGTTACCTATAAAGTTTTTTAAATAATGTAATTTTTAATCTCAAGCGTGTTGATAAAGAGGGATTGGGTGAATAAGTGTTCTTAAGGAATAAATGTGAAGAAAGGCTATACCTTTAAAGATAAATCTTTTCATAATATCTATAATTTAAATTTTTCAATATGAGAGCACATTAAGATAGAATGCTTTATTTTAGATAAAAGTGAATATCAAGTATGTAATACTATAAAGAGAATATTATGGAAGATAAATATAAAATTGATATAGATTTTGGCATTATTTTTGTGTGATAATAAGTTGTAGGCACATTGATCAAAGGCTAGTCAACTTGTTATACTCTTTTCATATATATCATGCCAACTCATTAGTTTCTTACTTGTAAACTATATTATAGGCATATGAATGTTGCAAATAAAAAATTATATAAAATTGTAATGGGTCCTATTTGTATTATAATACATGATCGTGGGCTTTAAATTAGGTTGACTTATATGTTTGATTTCAAAGTAAATCTCTTCTCCATTGTTTCCTGAATCCACGCAAGTTATATCTTTCTTATGGATATAAAGTTCCTGAAAATTAAGAGTTGAAGTTGTCATAAAGATCAAAAGAGTTGAAGGACTGTATATGTTACAAGATGCAACTACAAGTCCAACTTTAGTTATGTCATTACCTTCATTAGTGAGCCATATTATTGGAAAGTAGAGGATAATTAGCTTTCATTTTTACATATTCCAAATTAAATCTGGACACGAGGCCATGGGAAAGCTTCAGCTGAACAACTAAATTAGAATTATGTTGCGTCATATATCGTCGTGCATAATGCTACAGATACAATAGTTGTGCTACATGTCTCTTATATACTTTTCAATCTTGACAACATCATCGCATCGAGGATATTTCACAATTTTATGCTATTCAAAATTTGGAGGTTTAATTGAGATGCAACAATATTGAGGAAATGTCAAGAATTAGTATTTTAATAAAATATAATTGGAGTCTTATAGATTATGTTCGATAAATGCATTCGGTGACATTTTTACTTAATAAAAATTTATCCACCCAAATGACCAGTGGCTTTGAAGTTTCTTACACGCCTTGGATTCGTGAACTCTTATCAATTGAGCCATTCATATGAAGACATGCTGATGTGTTTCCTGGGAGTTCGGTCAGCCGAGGGAAATATGAATCGCAACTTATGTACATGTGTCTCAGGCCAATATATCATATAAGTTAATAAAGATCCACTAAATAAATCACATTAACATTATCGTGTCCCAAATCACTAATATGAAAAATAGAATATTGTGTTTATTAATCAACGGCCATAAAAAATTTGTCAAAAAAATTTATGACATTAATCGTTTAGATCATTATGACAATGATAGAATATCCTCTGGAAAAGATGATACAACATTACTATAGTGACAAATATACAAAGGTCCTTGCAGTGGCACCCCGGTATAGAGTTAAATAAGCGAGGGGTCTCATATTATGGAAGAATGCAGGCTAAAAAAATTAGTCCATAAAAATAATATTATTATAAAAACTTAAAACATATGTACTCTCACAGCTAAATTAATGATATTAATATATACTATGATTCAAATGAAGATAAATATCTTATCATTCAATAAACTAAATGGATTAAAAAAAAAAAAACTAAGAAAATTGATATTTTAGTTTCTAAACTTTGGTATTAAGGTAGGAGTAGTACAAGAATTGGTGTAGGCATATTCATCACCAATAATATGAATGCACGTGTCATTGCCAATAAGACTATTGCAAGCTATTAACATTAAAATCAACAAGCATTATCGCCAACAAGACTAATGCACGCCATTGACATCACCGCCAAGCCACACCATGTTGTATTTGTGGCATTATTTACTTTTATTTTGAGTGGCATTATTTACATTAATTTTAAGGGTATTTTTGTATTTTACATTTAGTTACTTGTATGCTCTAATCCTCCTCTATAAAAGGGACGTAAGGACTTAAGAGTATGGTGAAAAGTGTTAAGTTGTAATTCCAGACCGTTTTTTCTTTCTCCACATCCTGTATAGTGAAATCTCCCTCCCTGTGAATGTAGGCGAATCGATTTAACACTAAACCATGTAAATCTTTTGTGTTTGATTGTTATATAAATTTCTACGCTTCCACATTATTTTCGCATAAAAATTAGTATCAAAATTTTAGATTTGTGCGTGATCAGAGTGATGTGTTGTCGGAGTTTTTTTTGCAGTAGGTAGCCCAACCCAACATGTTTTGCTGACAGATGCAGAGGTCCGGCAACAGACTGAAGATTCTGGCAGCAGACAGGCACGAAAAAGGTTGCAGGTGTCTCAGGCAAAATTTCAAAGGCAGGATCTTGGTTCGGCTTGCGCGGGAGCCGAACGGAGAAGAAAATAATATTTCTTCTCTGGTTTGCAGCATTGCAGAGGAAATGAAGTATTCCCTTATTCCTCAAATTTTGCTGAGGCAGGCGAGAAGATTTAATGAAAGTTTCCTTTCATTAAAGTATTGGAAAGTTTTAACGCTTTGGAAAAAGGGAATATTCAGATGGTGTGGAAACAAAAAAAACTTTTTTAAAGGAAATTTTTTTGGGGAAAATAATTTTTTGAAGATTTAATGAAAGTTTCCTTTCATTAAAGTATTAGAAAGTTTTAACGCTTTGGAAAAAGGGAATCTTCAGATGGTGTGGAAACAAAAAAAACTTTTTTAAGGGAAATTTTTTTGGGGAAAATAATTTTTAAAAAAATCTGAAAAAGAAAGAAAAAAAAAAGTGAGAACAGATAAATTCAGAAAAAAAAAAGAGGCTTTTTTTTATTTTTTCAATAATTTCTTTTTTTTTAGATTTTTTTAACGTCTACTATGACAGTGAAAAAGTCGATTCATCAGATGGTTATGTATCCAGTTAAGATAGATGTGACAAAATTTGAGAGCAATGAGAACTTTTGGCATGTGACAATACGAAGTCATGAATGCACTGTTCTCTGAATATAAAGAAATTCTTAGACAGCGGAAAATGTCCTAAAGATATGTTAGAAAGAGATTGATTGAAGATGAACAAGAGTATTTTGGGCTTGATCCGAAATAATTTGACCCTAGAAATCAAATATGGGGTGATAATGTACACTTCTATAAGGAAATTATGAAGGATACTGAAAAACATATATCTCACGAAAAATGTGAAGAGTCGATAAATTTCATATTATACAGATGACTACTATTGATGAGCACTTGATAAATTCACAAAGCTGTTATCAAATCTGTTAAATTTGGATGAAAAAGTTAGAAATGAAAAAAGGTACTTCTATTGAATTCACTCTCCGATGAGCACGAAACTTCACTATGACACTCATTCATGAAAAGAAGACCTTGAATTATTGCGAAGTAACTACGACATTGTTGAATCTTGAGTTTTGTCGAAGAAACGAGGAGCCTGCAAAAATAAAATAAGTTGAGGCACTTATATTTGAATGTGTCAGATCTAAGAAGATGAAGAATTTGGCAAAGAAAAGTTGCAGCGATGACATTTCTCAAAAGCGAGGCAACTCTTGTAGGCACGATCTTGAAAAAAATCAGTGTGTTTAGAAACCGGTTAATGAAAGCAAAATTGACCAAAAATAAAAGGGAAGAAAAGAAGTTAAATCCGGGGCGAAAGCCAATGTTACTATGGAAAGATATGAAGAGACGGATTCAAATGTATCATTATCTGTTGTTTTTCACAATTTGATTTGTGTTGAATTTTGGACATAGATGTTACCCATCACATTTGTTTCCATCGAGGGTGAATCTATACGTACAACGAGTTGGATAGTGGTGCAGTGGCTATAGGCAACAATCAAATTTGTCATATTATTAGTATAGAGAATATATTTATCAAAATGCATGATGATAATGTAAGGAAACTGATTAATGTTAAATATGTTTCAGATATCAGAAAAAATTTATTGTCAGTTGGGAGTTTAGAGTCCGAGGGCTACCACAATTATTGAGGCAAGATTCCTGAGGATATGTCGTGGGCAATGATTTATGAAAGAAGTTCGTCATCACAGTCTTCACTATCTTCAAGTTAGTACAATGACTGAAACAGGTGTTGTTACTGATAATTCTTCTGACTCCACTATAGTGGCAGATGCGACTAGTTCATGTTGGAAGCACTTCACTTCAGATTTTGGTGAAGAAATGATTAATCAAAGTAGTTATCACCTGCAAACTTAATTTATATGAACAATGATTGGCAAGAGGATATGGGTATCTTTAAGGACTATCACCGACAGTATAAAAATTATTTTAGAGTATGTTCATATGGATGTTTGGGAACTGATGAAGATAACATCATTTAGTGATCGAAGATATTTTCTCTTTTATTGATGATTATTCTATGGATGTTTGAGCTTACACTATGAAGCACAAAAGTGAAATGAGGATGAATGCACTCCCGATACGTTCTTGTAAGAGTGATAGAGAAATGGGATAGAGCAAGAGCACCACCTCACTGTTTGAGAGACACCGCAACAGAACAGGATGGTAGAGAAGATGAATTGAACTAAGACGGAGAAAGTTTGATGTATGTCATCCAATGCTTAAAAAAGACAATCAAGCATTTACGCTAGAAAAGTAAATCATTGGAGTTTCTATAAACAATAATAAGGGATCATAACCGACTAGTTTAGGGAAAAGTTTCCTTGATAAAAAATAATATAAGAGCAACAAATTATTACTTTTTCCTTCCTACTGGTTTTTGGCAGGAAACTAGGAATTGTTATCTCCGATTTATAGAAGGATGAGAGCAAAAACACCCTTCACAACAAATACTAAAGTAAAAAAGCAAGATCGAAGAGGTAATGTTCAACATATTATACACCCGAATATCATCAAGGGCTCATCTCATCCATAAATGTCTGATACTGAAATACCGCAAAAGAATGAAAACCAGCTCAGCTGCTGCTCAGCTTAGCAAGTTCTTGGGTAGGAGAAGCAGGGGCAGGAGCAGGAGCAGGCGTAACTCCTCCGGTTGTTGGCCTGGAAATAACAAATAATACGCATAAGCCGGGTACAAAATGAAAGAAAAATTACATTTCAAAATTTAATAGGCGTTAGCTCAAAAAAAAAACCACATACAGGCCGACAAAAACTTTAAAGGCGTCGTAGATTCCCCACTGTGCACCAGTTAAGGTACCAATCATAACAATCCTAAGTGGAAGTCCACGGGTGAAAAGGCCCCACAATCCAAGCTTTTTCACCGCCTAAGACAAATTGAAGTTTAAAAAGAAAAAAATCAGTTGAGGAAAATAAAGATAGATTGATAGAAAGAATAACCAAAACTATACTTACATCACCGACTGTAGCTCCCTTCGCATTGTTAAGGAAAGAGACGAGGTTGTCAGCAGGGTGAGATACAATGGCACATAAGACACCGGCAATGTAGCCGCCTGCAAAGCTTACACCAAGCTGAAAGGGCTTGCTGCATTGATCCTTAGGAGTGGGAATAACATTCTTGTACAGCAACTCCACTATGGTCTCAAATGAAGCAAACTTCATCATTGTGTCTGAAAATTTGATTCCAAAATCCACATCAGTAAGCATATCACGAGACACTTGCCTAAAATCCCATCAGAAATAGCATACTAGATGTTAGGCATGAATTTTTATGAACTGTAATAAGACCTTAAAAAGGCCAACATGTACTGAATTCAATGATAATTTTCTTATAATTCATATTTGGGGTGTCTGTGACTTCATATTAGTTTTATGATTTTATTTGGTGCAAGGTAAAATCACGCTACCTCACAAAAACAAATGACGCTTGAAGAGGGTTGCTAGGACAGAGCAATATTTGGGGTGTCTGTGACTTCATATTAGTTTTATCATTTTATTTGGTGCAAGGTAAAATCACGCTACCGCACAAAAACAAATGACGTTTGAAGAGGGTTGCTAGGACAGAGCAATCAAAGAGATACATGTATAATCAATAACCAGAGCTTTTTTACGCAACCACTAAATTTTACAAGCAAAACAGCTAAAAAGCAAATTACAGAAGAAAGCCAAGCCAAAGCCAGCAAGAACTGCTTGGAAAAGCACATTAGTAAAATCAGTATATCTTAATTCCAAAACCCCAGTATGACACATCTTAATTCCAAAATCCCAAGCTGCTCTTAAATATGTTCCGAATTTATCATCAAAACAAATATCAGAACATGGTTCAAGAACAAAATTTTATAATTCAGTTGACAAAGAATGAAAATAGCAATAGATTATACCAAACAAAAGAAAAAAAACTGGTATCGTGAAACTTACGAGAAGGTCCAAAAAATTAAAGGTTGGGTGCCAAATATACTTCTCATTTGCAAGGTAGACACTATTATTTATCAATATGATAATATTCCTAAAATAATCAACGCACATGAAAAAAAAAACAGACAAGATCTGGGATCAACCCTTCTTTTTTAATTTTTTTCATAACTCACGCAGACCTGTGAATGTACTAGGCTATGAACACAAGAACTTATGATTAGACAAAAACACTAGCTTAAGTGGGTTGCATGGATCGAGGATTAACTTGAAGATTCTAGAAATTCATCCACAATTTATATTCAACTGATATCAAGATGAAGGCTAGCGTGAAGTTGAAACCGGAAGAAATGAGAAGGCATTTTATCTGAAGTGCAACTAATAAAAAAAAAGTTATTAAAGTTGTTACAAGAATGAAATAGAAAATTTATGACTCGAAGTATTTCGCACAACAATAGCTTAATTATAGAACATATATTGTTGAATCTTATTATGATAATGTCAAGTGGCAAAGATTCATTTTTCCTTTTGCCACAAATGTCAAATAGAGATGCATGCAGACCTATAGATCACTACACTATGAATATGGAGCATGAAAAAAATGCTTGCACAAGGGTGGTCCATAGGACGACAGCAACAACAACAAAAAGCCTTTATCCCACTAAGGGGATCGGCTATAGGAATCCTTATTCTCCATTGCATCCTATTGAGTGTCATATTTTCATTTGTTTTTAATAAATTAAGATCATTTTATACAACATGCCCAAGTCTTTTTTAGATCTACCTCTGTCTTCTTTAACAAAAGTCGAATGTCAAACATATACTCTTCTAACCGGATAATCAGACGATCGACATTTAAATGTGAACAAACCATCTAAGACGACTCTCTCTAATCTTGTCCGCTACTACATCAACACCAACCCTATCACGAATATATTCATTTTGCATTTTGTCCCTAAGTGTCAAACCACTCATCCACTAAGCATTCTCATATTAACAACACTTATCATTTTTTTATGTTTCTCTTTTAAAAGCCAACATTATGCATAGAGCATTGCAGGTCTCACCACCATCTTATAAAATTTTTCTTTTAATCTAAGCGGTGCTTTTCTATCACAAAAAAGGCTCAATGCATTTCTTCACTTCAACCAATCAACTTGAATTCTACTAATAAAATCCCATCGATATCACCATCACTTGGAACTATAGACCTAAGATACTACTACTAAAATTACATTCCATGTATTCAGTTTTAGATCTACACAAATGAAGGCCCTTAAACTCCAATGTAGACCTCCATAATTTAAGTTTTTCATGAACTCATTCTCTAGTACTATCCACAAGAAGGATATCATCAACAAAAAGCAAACACCAAGGTACATACTCCTATAAATGTCCAATAAGAGCATCCATAACTAAAGCAAAAAAGATATGGTCTTAAAGTCGATCCCTGATGTAATGCAACTGAGATAGAAAAATACTTGGCCAATCCTCCTTCTATTCGAACACAAGTAACAACTCTAATATCATATCTTTAATGACTAGAATATAAGTAATAGAAACGTCTTTCTTCTCTAAAACTCTGCAAAGAACTTTTTTGAAACCTTATCGTAAGCTTTTTATAAATCAATAAAAATCATACGTAGATCCTCCTTATTCTCTATGTACTACTAATAACAGTAATAAGGAAGTCACAAGCATGTGAGTAGGTTAATTAGATGATTCTTTTTTATAAAATTATCATTCCATTTAATGCAATAATCTCCCCCTTCGTAAAACATGATAAATTCTTAAGGGCTAAAGCCACCATCTATATAAAACCTCAAAACTTGGATACTTAATGGGAAACTGAATAACATTGAATAAAGCACTAAAGAGATCAAGTGTTGAATCCAAAATATCCACGAAACAAAACCAAGAAATAGAGCATACAAGGAAAAGGAAAAAGAAATAGTAATGAATAAAGAGATCAAGTGTTTCGACTATGACTCTTGGTGGGATGTGATTCGTGGGTTTGCAAGAGCGGGCGTAAGCGAGTCGCTCCTCCCACCCCACTATCTCAATCGAGAACGAGTCTGAGGGAGAGTCGGGGCCACAACAAGAGCGGTGAGAGGCAATTCCTGAAGGGAGGGAAAAGCTCTTCTTTGGCGACAGTGTTGCCTCCAAAAGAGGGGGAAATTTCGTCAGAGTGGTCCTTCTCACATGACCAAGGGTTTGGAGTACGGACTAGCGACCACTATGTGCTTATTGACAAGGAGAGGGAATGGTTCCCAACACCCCTCTGACTGGGGATTATCCGTCGATCTTGGTTGAGATATTTTGGTCCCTTGTCTTCGAGAATCGGCCGATCATTATCATACTCTTGCATGGGAAGTCTCCCATTTTCAGGGTATTCTTTGAACATGGCTGAGGAACAAATTAGGAGGTCTAGCCTGCAAGTTCAAAAGTTAAAGCGGAGAGTTGATGTGGCTGAAGAGAGACTAAGGGTCTGTTTGGGAACAGCTGCAGCTTATTCAGCTTATGCTGATAAACAGTGTATCATGATAAACTGCTAATCTACAGCTGATTCGGATAAGCTGGCTGGTTGTTTAGTTGATGCGTTTGAAAAACAGCTGATTCTGGATAAATGATCATCCTGTCCCGTTTTGGAAAAACTGTTTAGTTGAACCCTCATAACATTAGCAATGCCGCAAACATTATCATACAATTCATATTAAGGTAAGTAGCATAAAATCTTTAAGAAGGTTTGCATACACGCAATCCAATTTCTATGTGTAAAAGTAATAAGAGAATGAAGCAATCAGTAAATAATAAAAGAATGAAGTAAATTACGTGGACCATTACTAATTTAAATTGATTGCAAAAAACTTTCATACCCGAAAACAAGCAAATAAAAAAAAATCAAAGATATAATGTCACCAAATTGCCTGAAATTACAAAAGCACTGTAGTTGACCATAGGTATAAGGCATTCCTTTTTAGAAATGAATACAAGAGAAGGCAAAAGAAACTCAGGTGGAGGCCTGTTCTCCCCAATCACCTGAAGCATATAGAGGTGCCAAGCAGCTAAAACATGAATGAGATAGCTTTACACTTAGATTCTCAAAATTTTTTTAATTCATAAACCAATCCAATTTCTATCTGCTTGGTTATTTCATATTTTATCACTAGATCATCAATAAACGCATCACAAATCATATCACGAGCACAAACAAGCATTGTGAATATAAGACAACAATCATTGCTTCAGGTCAAAAATGAAGAAAAATTTACACCTAGCTTTTTTGCCAAATTAATTTGCAGTGACCAAAATACTACCAAGGTAACAGGAGCATTTTTTTTCCTACAGGTTATCTGAGGAGATGTCGCATTCCAGAGGTCCCTATCCTCAAGACTGCTCAAACCATGACGCATATATGAAATGATGAGCCTCAAGACTGTTCAAACCATTAGATAGCAGCCCTAAAAAGCATCCAGCATTGTCTATCTCTTCAAGCTGAAGAAGAAAAAACAGATACGAATAGGGGAGGAGCGATAGAGGATGCCAACGAGGGGAAGAAATGCGATTTGCAGTATGACGGAAAAGAAAAAAAACAAATCCAAAGAAAAGTAAATGCCGAAGAAGAAGATGTCAAAGATTACTCGTTGTAAGAGAGATTGTCGAAGAAGAGGGAGGAGCGGCAGAGAATTCGAACGAGGGGTAAGGAAGATTCGAACGAGGCCACGGGATGCGAACGAGAGGGCACGGGAGTAATATGTCGTGAACGAAACGCGGCCCACGGGGGTCATCCCGCAGGCCGCGTGTTTAAGAAATTAGAAACACCATTTTTGGATAAGTTCGTGAAACACGCGAAAGAAACGGCACGGCGGCGTTTTCAAAACGTCGTCCGCAGTTATAAGCTGCCGCAAACGGGCCCTAAAACCATCCGTGGAGGAGAAGCTAGAGGCTCGGGAGCATGAGACTCAGGTGGAGACTCTCCTAAAGGAAAACAAAGAGTTGAAAGATAAAATGTCCTCGATGATTACTCGGGAGGAGCACGTCGAGGGTCTCTCCAGTCAAATTACGATCAACACTTCCCTGGCATCGAGCGGTTCGAAAAACAAAAACTGGTTGATCCCAAGTGGAGGGGATGGAGGAGTTTGACACACTACTTTTGGATCTCGAGGACAAGGAGGATCAATTCGATGGAAAGCCTACCAATGCTGAGGGAGCAAAGGAAGCTATGGAGGAAGGTGCTAGAGAATCTTTAAATGTTCGG